CCTTTTCCTTCTGTGGTGTTTCAAGAACTTGGGGAAAAAATAACTTAAGAAGCTGCCCCCCCCCCCTCCCAATTCTGTACATTTTAACTAGTCTCAGAAGTAACAGGGCTTTTTAATGATGTTTGCCACACTGTAAAAATCTTTTTCCATGGAGTAATATTTTTGTTCAGCAACACTGTGAAAATAATATTGCATGGGTGCATCATGGTGACGTTCCCTCTCTCTCACTCACGCACACACACACACACCCGTGAGCGAAACCAGCATTCCTTGCTTGGAACACACTAAACTGCTGGAATTGTGCTGCCCTCTCTTCCCCCCCCCCCCCCATCCCCATTCTTGCCTATCTGCAGTGTTTGTTCCTACGTCGTCTGCCGCTGTTTTGAAACCAGATTTTGCTCTTCCACACGCAGCCGTTAGAAAATAGTCTCCTTGGAACCGCAAGGCTCTTGGCTGAGTGTTTAAACTTCTAATAATAAAAATATGGCTCTAGTCCTGTTTGGGTATCCTCCACCCCACCTTTCCAATGTGCTGTTTTATGCGGAATGCTGCATTTGCCGTCGTTAGTTCCCTCGCACTTATTTGAAGCTTTTTCTCATTTGCAGTTTTAAGCCACCGTGCAGCTTCTGCTCCGGTACGACTCTTGACCCAGGCACCTTCCTTGTTTTCCAGATGCTCTTCACAATCACTACCCCAAGATTGGGGGGTGGGTGGGAGGGAGGGCTTGGGACTCCACTGGGGCATAGGAAGCGGCCTGACCTTTGGGGATCTAAATGGGGAAACTGTAGGAGCACTCTTAGGGGTGAGGGGGAAACCAGAACAAGGAGTTGGGGGTCAGCTTTTAAAGACGCCACATCGTGATGGGGGGATAGCTGAGATAAGAGAGAAAAGCATTGCCTGGTTCTAGTGAGAGAAGCTGTGTGACTTGTTTCGCCTCTGGGAAAGTTTGCAGTTGTCCCCTGGCAGCCATAACTCCTAGATGCTTGGGACAGTAGACAACTTGAGGGGCTTCACGGCCCAAAGAGAGGCACGGAACCTGCTCGTGCCATCTTTGAAACAAAAGAACCCCCATCAGTCCAAGTCCCGGGTGGCATCAAGAGCCAGCTGCCCCAGTCTCTGTTGCCACACAAAGCAGTGGCCGCCACTGCAGGAGTCTTGCCGATGACCGAACCAGCCGTGCTTCTGAACCTGCACTTAGACGTGGTGTTCGCTTAGCACTGCTTTGGTTTTGGTGGTTGATTCGGAGGGGGTGGGTGGGTTATATAGAAACTCTTAACTTCCTAGCGAAACAGCCAAGTGTGTTCCTTCCCCCCCCCCCAAGAAGCTGTTGGGGGGGTTGTAGCCAAACATCTGTAAAGTGCAACGCTGTGATATGTAAATGAAGAGCGCCCACAAGCTCTGTTCACAAGGAAGAAGCAAAAGTCTTTGCAAACTGCCCTTTCTTTTGCCTATCCCCCCCCCCCCCCCCGGGCTCTTCTCATTACTTTCATTGTTAAACAGAGGGGGGTTTAAAATATTAAAGGCAAAACTCCGAGCCAAAGTAGAAACTTGAGAGATTACAAAAGGTTCGTTGGGGGGGGGGGAATATTTCATGCCAGGAAGCATCTGTAAATCATAATATCAAAAAAAATAACTTTATGTGGCTTTGTGTGTGGTTCAAAAGAATTAAATTACGATCAATGCTTTTCTTCTCGGTATGTTCAGCGATTCTTATGCACAGAGCTTTTGATCATTTGAAGGGAGTGGACGGTGGGGGAAGCGACCTGAAACCCATGCATTCTTGAAACCTTATTTTGTTCACACCGGTGTTTTCAGTACAGCTGACTTCTTGCAATTCAGACCAATCCAAAAATAAAAGGGGATCAGTACTCCACAATGATTTTTTCGCTTTCTGTCTTGTTTCCCACTGGTAGAAATTGAAAAGTTGTGTGTTTGGGGGGGGGGGGTGCTTTCTAGACCAGAGTCCTCAACGTGTGGCCAGGGGTGCCATGGCACCCAGGAAGTGTCTTTAGAATGTGGGTGGGGCCAAATGGGCTGCCCGGTGGGGCTTCTCGTTGCCCACTAGGATTTCTGATTGGCTGCGCAGATTAAAGTAACGTTTCGGCGACAGCCGTCCCTACGGTCTTGGTTTCATTCTCTTTCTGACTTCTCTTTCCCCAACTGTATTTTCAAAATTTACTCAGGTGTTCTGGTTGATCACAAGCTGAACATGAGCCTGCAGTGCGATGTGACTGCGAAGAAAGCGAATGCAATCTGAGGATGCATTCACAGAAGCCTTGTGTCCAGATCACGGGAGGTGGTGGTTCCGCTCTATTCTGCTACGGTCAGGCCTCACCTGGAGTCCTGTGTCCAGTTTTGGGCACCACATTTCAGGAAGGATGCTGACAAGCTCGAGCATGTCCAGAAGAGGGCAACCAGGATGGTGAGAGGGCTGGAATCCAAGTCTTACGAGGAAAGGCTGAAAGAGTTGGGTATGTTTAGCCTGTGAAGTAGGCTATAAATGGGGGGGGGGGAGAATGAATAAATAAATCCAGCAGAACATTTTCCACCTGTAAGACACTTTCTCCACAATGAACACAAGGCAAGGGAGGGACTGTGGCTCAGTGGTAAGGCCTCTGCTTGACATGTAGAAAGCCCCAAGTTCAATCCCTGGCATCTCTAGTTAAAAGGATAGATACTGGCTAAATATCAGGAGAAACTTCCTGACTGTAAGAGTGGTTGAGCAGTGGAACAGAATGCCTTGGGAGGTGGTGGGTGCTCCTTCGCTGGACGTTTTCAAGTGGAGGCTGGATGACCGTCTTTCGGGTATGTTGTAGGGCTCTTTCGGCTATGCTCCTGCAGAGTGCAGGGGGTTGGACTAGATAACCTGCAAGGTCCCTTCCAACTCTTTTAACATTCTATGATTCTTGTCCCCTCACACACACACCACACTTGGACTTCCTCGGTGATTGTGGATGTCTCTGCCTCCCACAGTGGCCATTTTGTGGTTCCACCCACCACCCTGTCTCAGAATTCCAAAGGCTGGGGACACCTGTGGTGGATACCGCAAATGTCTGTAACCCTGTGTGGAATGGTGCCCGGAACTCTCATATTCCCTAATGCTAATTCTCCCCCTGAGCAGTAGCCTTAGCTGTACAGTACGACCACTGGAAAGAGCCTCACAACTCAGAGCAGAAACTCAAGCTAGACCATTGCAGACAGAGAGGTGCCCAGCCTCTGCTTGAAACCCTCCAGCAAGGATCAGCCCATCACCCAGGCCTGATACCCACGTCAAACCACTTTTACCCCCTGTTTTTCTGAATGCTCAAAGGAGAAAGTTCCACAGAAACTGGCAAAAGTTAACCTTGAAATAATTAGATTAAACTCCCCAACTCAAAACTGCAGTCCTAGCTGCAGGTTCAAACTTTTATTTGGTACTGGATCCAAAATACTGCCTCATGTTCAAACATGGGCCCTTCAAGACCCCCGTTTGCTCCCACATGGGTATTACACAAATGTGCTCCAGACTTCCACTGTGCCACCCGCCAAAAACCTCCTCCTCCAGCTCAGGGAAGCATTGGAGCCTTAAGAGTTTTGCTGTGCTGCCTGCACACCGCTGAGCTCTTGCCGTGCAAAACAAAATTAGCACAGCTGTTGCCCGATGCACACATGCCGTGCGGGTGAAGCCACCTTCAGTCTTTCCCTTCATTTCCCTGCTTTGCCAAATTTTCTGCAGATTTCGCCTGCTTCTGCCTCCTGGCAAGTTCGGCTAATTCTTTCCTAATGTATCGCACGACAGCACCGTCTCCGGCTTCCTCCGCCAGCTTCAGGGCTTCCTTGTAGACTTGTCTGGCCTGGGGGAAATCTTCTGTGTTCAGAATGAGACAGACGGGTTTGTGTTAGTCCTGGACCAAGATGTCCCCACGCAGAAAGAAAACAAGCATGCGCCTGACACCAAGAGCAGAGAGGGGGCGCCAGAGAGTGGGCGGCCCCCTCTTACAAGCTTCTCACCATTTCTTGGGATGGGGCCTTGATCTACATGTGTGGTGAAGATTGGAGGGAGAAGAGTTCCCTCTGTTGACAGTCCTCTGCAACTAAATACTTGCAAGGAGAACACTAGCAAGCCAAGAAGAAGGCTGGGCTGGTATCTCTCCCTGATGTGCCAGTTCTTTTCTAGCAGGAAATGTTTCATGTAGCGGACCATTCTAACCTCTCAGACTTCACCCTGACCTCATTCCATGGCAAGTGCGGACCATGTCTCGTTCTGCAACTGTTAGGACAGAGGAGGGGGGAGCCCAGCTTGGGACATTCTGCAAGGAAGAACAGAATCAGGGATCCACGCCTGGGCCAGGGAATACCCGGTTATGATGCATCAGAAATACCAAAAAGGTCTCTGACTCAGGAGACTGCATGTGTGGCTTGGAGCCTGGGAAGTCTTCTTCCCAGCAGGACCAGAGAAATCCTCTCCCACCCCTAAGTCCTGGTTCCACCAGGACTCGGCAAGAGCTCCTAGTAGGGGTGTGCATTTGGTAAAGCTGAACCAGAAAAAACCCCTGAAAAAATCTTTTTCAGCATTTTTGGGGTATTTGGCATACCGAATCAGATCCCCTGAGCTGATTCGGTTGCCGAATACTAAATGCCGGGAAAAACCTGAAAATTTTCGGGGTTTTTTTTTGGCTTTTTCTGGGAGAAACTGCTGCCTGCCTTTTTCCCATCCCCATAGGAAACAATGGAGGATTGGGGGCACCCTCTTTGGATGGCCCTAAAATTGGACCCTCTGGTCCAATCTTTTCCAAACTTGGGGAGTCTTTTGGGGAGAGGCTCCACAAGCTACAGTAGAAATTTGGTGATTCTACCTCAAACCTCCCCCCCAGCCCCCTGAATACTTGTAAGAAGATTTTTGCCATTGACTACAATGGCCCCATAGGATATAATGGAGCCGAAAACATTTGGGAATACCTAAGATTTGGTCCTTTTGACCGGAGATGCAGGGGATTGATCCTGGGACCTTCTGCACGCCAAGCAGATGCTCTCTCACTAAGCCACAGCCCTTGCCCTTCCCCAAAGCCACCAAACGAAACTGTGGGCTCTTGCCCACACATTCTTCAGCCCCTTCCCCCAACCTTCCCCCCTCGGTGTCTCCACCTTTGTGCATCAGGATCCCAGCCAGGTTATTTAGCACAACATAGGCTTCTGGGTGTTCGGTCTGTCGAGCCAGATCCAATGCTCTCCTCACACGAGTGTAGGCATCGTCATACCGTCCTTGAGCATCTAGAGCGGTTGCTAAGTCATTCATCAAGACCACCGTCTGTGACAGGAAAGAGTTTGGAACCCAAAAGTGTTGGACACGAGCTTCCTCGTGGAGCACATATATAAGAACATAAGTAGAGCTCTGCTGGATCAGACCAGCCGTCCATCTGGTCCAGCATCCTGTCTCACACAATGGCCAACCACTTCCTCTGAACGGCCAACAACAGGGCATACAGGCCGAGGCCTTCTCGTGATGTTGCTTCCTGGCTCTGGGATTCAGAGGCTTACTTGAGGGCCCCAGGGTTCTTAAGATTACAAGACCAATGGTGACATCTCCAGTCGCTGAATTCCCTGAAGCCCTCTCTTCCCAGTACACACCCCCACCCCATAAATGTTTAATTGCTTAAAAGTACATCACAGGAAGGAAACCAACAAACCAGTATGTGGATGACACCCAGATCTATCTGATGTTGGGCAGCCAGTAAGACTCCAGACCGGACGATCTGGACCAGGCGTTGCAGGCTGTGACTGGTTGGCTTAGGCTGAGCCGGTTGAGGCTAAACCCGGCGGCAAAGATGGAGGTCGTGTGCCTGAGACGTGGTGGTAAGGGGTTGGGGGTCCCGCTCCCGACTTTCGATGGGGCACCTCGGTTAGGAGTCTGGGAATGCTCCTGGATTCCTCCTTGACAATGGAGGCACAGGTAGCGGCCATTGCAAAATCGGCCTGCTATCATCTTCGGCTGGTTCGGCAGTTGGTTCCCTTCCTCAACCACTGTGACCTGGCTACAGTGATCCATGCGACGGTCACCTCGAGATTGGACTACTGTAACGCTCTCTACATGGGGCTGCCCTTGTCCCATATCCGGAAGCTGCAGCTGGTGCAGAATGCTGCGGCCAGGCTGTTTATGGATCTCCCACGCCGGGAGCACATCCAGCCTGTGCTTAGGCTACTGCACTGGCTGCCAATAGCATACCGGATTCACTTCAAGGTGCTGGTACTTACCTTTAAAGCCCTATATGGCTAGGGTCTGGCTTACCTGAGGGACCACCTTTCCCCATTTATACCCCAGAGAGCACTACGGTCTGGGGCACAACAGCATTTAACTATTCCAGGCCCCAAGGATGCGAGGCTTGCCGTCACCAGGGCCAGGGTGTTTTTGACGGCGGCTCCTTACTGGTGGAACGAGCTCCCGGAGGAGATCAGGGCCCTGCGGGACCTTGTACAGTTCCGCAGGGCCTGCAAGACTTTCAAATAGGATCTGCCGCCGCCACCATTACCACCAACTATTCCATTGAACATCTGGAATATGGGACTGGCCCACTATGGATTACGCCATTTAATATCGGGACCATAGGACTGGCCGTAAGATCAGAAGATTGCTGGAATGGAAAGCCACGCCATCTATTTTAATACTGCGATCACCTCAATGCTATTGCTAGAATGTTAAGAATATTTTATATTATTTTAATGTTTTATGGTTTTATGCTAATTCGGCACACTGCCGTCTTCTGTAAGCCGCCCAGAGCCTGTTTGCAGGGTGGGCGAGGTATAAATATAAGCAGGGCTTTTTTTGTAGAAAAAGCCCAGCAGGAACTCATTAGCATAATGGCCACACCCAACAGCAGAAACTCATTAGCATATTAGGCCACATCCCTGACAGTACAGCTTGTTAGCACATTAGGCCATGCCCCCATCCCTTCCCTTGGCTTGCCTGGGCGCTCGGCAGCTGAAGGAAGCCCGGGCAAGCCGGCCCTTGGACAGGCATGGGGAGGCATTTAAATTCCTCCTCGATCTTTCCAGGGGGCCCCCTGGCCCGCCCGCCTTGGAGTTGCGGGGGGGGGGGTGTCGCTCACCAGGCCTTCCCTCTGTAGCCCTTTGAGACCTGCCTGCACCCTCCCCACTTCAAGAACCCTTTGAATGTGGGCAAGCATAGGCCAGTTCTAGCTGATCTACTTGCAAATGAGTAGGTTGCAGGGTCCAGAATATGAGGGCTGTGTGATGGTTATGGGTAGTGCACCAGAGGGCCTGGTTTTCACTGCCACAGGAAGTGGCGGCGGCTACAAGCATAGCTCCAAGAGGGGATTGGATAAACGTATGGAGCAGAGGTCTACCAGTGGCTATAAGGTGGCCCCTCCTAACTGTTGCACCCTGCCGTCTTTTTCTCCTGTCAGTAGCCCTTGAGATTTTGTTCCGAGTTGTCGGAAGGAGTGTGCCTGCACATGAAAGCTTGCACTTTGAATAAAACTGTGTTGGTCTTAGAGGTGTCACCGGACTCAAACTTTGCTCTGCGGCTTCAGACCAACACGGCCGCCCACCTGAATGTATCTAACTTGATGGCCTATAACACACACACACACACCAGCCCTAGTCTAAGGCCTGCAGCATGGTGTAGTGGTTAAAAAGGTCTTCAAGGTGCCGCTGGACCCAAACTTTAGACCAACACAGCTACCCACCAGAACAACTCAGTTACCCTTCAGCATTCCAGGCTGAAGTTCTGTTTAGCAGAATGCCTTTTAAAATGAATATACGGTTTAAAATATTTTCTTGCATACACACAGCTTCAGTTCAGTCATGCTGTGAATATCCTTGTGCGGCGACGGCAGCTGCTGCTGAAGCAACTTTTTAAAAATCTGCCAAATCAGAAGCCCTGCTAGGCAAAAGCCCCCTGGCCTCCCAGACTTTCTAAAAACACTTGGTGGGCCCCATGTTGGGGTTGGGAACCCCTTGCTTTAGAGGGACACAGGTATGCCTGACTTTCAGGGAGCGATGCGGCCTTCCCTGCTCCTCCAAGCACTCATGCCTCCCACAAACACCAACAAAGCCTTGAGCCAGGATCCACCAGGTGCAAGAAAGGTGCAAAGCCACCAGCCCGGTAAAGGGGCCTTAAGTCTCCCAGAGGTGACCTCTTCCTTCTGGCACAATCTCTCCATTGCCACTTGCCCTGGCTAAAGTCCTCCACCACACACCCCCACTGGCCAAAATGGAGCCGCTGCGGCCTTGCACCGCAGTGCAGACAACCCATCTCACAAATGGTTTCCTTTTGAAAGCAGAACCAAGAGTCTAGTCCTCGGGACTGTCAATGATAGTTAAAAAGGTGTGCACCCTTTGGCAGGCTTTTCCTTGCTCTCTGCACAGGTCCCTCGTCCTCACCCAGAGCTAGCAGAAAGGGGGGGGGGACGCAAGGTATCTGCATGTGAACAGAAACACGGAAAATCTTTTCTCTTGCCCCCCCCCCCAGTCCTCACCTGAGGATGCGTCTCCCCTTGAACCTCCATGGAGATCTGCAACGCCTCCTCGTACATTCTCTCCGCTGCAGCTGCCTGCTTGCGCGCCAGCAGATATCGGGCATAGGAGTCAAGGCTCATGCCGAGGAGGAGACGGGTGTTGATTCGCTCTTCCTCTGCTGGGGACAAGAGGGTGCTGGTGTGAAGAACGCCACTCTCACTTCCAAAATCACTTTCCTGGGCTTAGACTCTGTGGCTTTTCAGACTGGTCGGCACCCTGAAGGGAAACAACCGGTGCCACTAATCTGCCTGGCTTGCATAGAAATGTGGAAGGGCACCTGCTTGGCGTGCAGGACATCCCAGGTTCAATCCCTGTCATCGCCAACTAAAAGGATCGGGCAGGGAGTGACGTGAAAGACTTCCGCTTGAGACCTTGGAGAGATCCAGCCAGTCAGAGCAGACAGTACTGACCTTGATGGACCAAGGGTCTGATTCAGTATAGGGCAGCTTCACATGTTCATAAGCTCACAGGCCGTGAAGCCTTTCCTGTGCCAGTTAGGACACACACACACACACACACCCAACTTCTACCTGGTACAGCATCGGCAGCCATGTCCTTCTGCTTAGCAATCTTCTCTTTTAGGGTCAGGATACAGAACTGATAGCCAGCCAGCGCCAACTTTTCTCTAGACAAGAAGGAGATACCCCATCAGAAGATGCCAGGGAGGTTCACGGCATTTGCCAACAATGTTTTACTTTTTTAAAGGTACGACTGATCGTGTTCTGGGGACAGGTTTGCCACTTGAATATACCAGTGGGATATGGGGGAGCAGGATACTTTTGGAAGTGTCTGCATAGCCTGCCTGCAGCAGTATGAGATACTGGAATTCTCAGCTTTGGGGGGTGTTTCCTTTAAAACAAATGCTTGTTGCTGTAAGAATGTGCTTGCAAGTGACAAGGCCGTGCCTGCTGAGATTGTAGAAGCCAATAAAGAGAGTGGATAACGCTTCCAACGGTAGAAGGTGCCCAGCCACTCCCCATATTGTACGATTCATCCAGGAAGTCAGCACGTGCCTAGGCACAGGATTTTAATTTCTCGCTGCACAGAGAAGTCAATAACAGATCTCGATTATTTTGTTACTGAACTCTTTCTTCAGCTTTCAGCATGGCCGAGTGGGAGGCTGCACACTTCGAGGAACCCCTCCTCAGGAACCCCCACCCCAGAGCACTGGAAGAAGAAGAGATTGGATTTATACCCTGCCCTTCACTCGGAGTCTCAGAACGGCTTACAAACGCCTTTCCCTTCCCCTCCCCACAACAGACACCCCCTGTGAGGTAAGTGGGGCTGAGAGAGCTCTGAGAGAACTGCCCATGAGAGAACAGCGCTGAGAGAACTTGTGGCTGACCCAAGGTCACGCCAGCAGCTGCATGTGGAGGAGTGGGGAATCAAACCTGGTTCTCCCAGATTAGAGTCCGCGCTCCTAACCACTACACCAGGGGTGGCCAAACTTGCTTAACGTAAGAGCCACATAGATATAAACATCATATGTTTGAGAGCCACAAGGCATGAACAAATATGACCCATATGTTTTTATTGGAAAATATGCAAATGTGCTTTTTATTAACATTAAATGAGACTGCCAAAAAATAAAAACAAAAGGGGTAAAAACAGATATTGATAACGATATTTAACTTTAGATGGGGAGGGAGGGGAGAGAGAGAGAGAGGGAAAGAAAGGTGGGAAGAAAGTGCAAAGAAAGCAAATAGATGGTGGGAGGGAGGGAGAGAGAGGTGGAAAGAAAGCAACTTTAAATGCATCTTCCAAGACCCCCACACACCTCCTCCAGCTGGCTTGGCTCGGAGAAGGGATTTAAAGAGACAAATGCCTTCTCCAAGCCAGCCAGTGGGGGGGGGAGGTCTTTAAAAATCCATTTAAAGTTGCTTTCTTTCTCTGCTCCCCCCTATCTCAAGCCTACCCAGGGAGGGAACACTGGCTGGGGAAGGGAAGACCGACTGGAGAGGCATGCTTCCCTTTCACTTTCCCAGCCGCCCTGCTGGGAGCCACACAATATGTGTGAAAGAGCCACATGTGGCTCCCGAGCCACAGTTTGGCCAACCCTGCACTACACCAAACTGGCTCTCTGGAAAGGGGAACCACTGGCATCCGGATCTGGCTTAGGCCTTGACTGAACCTTGACTCCTCCCAGAGCTACCCGTCAGTGTCAGCATTTCAACAGAGACGGGATAATGGATGCGTGCAAGCAGGCCTCCGGGAAGGTGCGCGCGGGGAGGACGAGAACTTACTGATTCTGTGCAGCGTAGATGCTGGCCAGCTTGAGGGACATCTCAATGATGGCGTTGTCATCCTAGAGCGCAAGGAAAGAGGGCAGGCGGCATAAAAGGAGGCAGCTAGGACAGCCCTCGCACCCTCCCCTTTCGGAACAGCAGGGAGGCTCCCGTAGCAACAGCCCTCCCCGCAATCAGGGCGTGGGCAGCGTCAGAAGGAAAAAGAGGCCTGAGGTGTTAGCAGCCGTCTTGAGCTGCAAAAATTGGGGAGGGGGTGTGTGTAGCTCCGAGGGCTGAATGCTTCGTGGGTCTGAAGGAATCGGGAATAGTGCCAGGTAAGGAACAGCGCTCTTGTGTGTGCTGCAAAGGGGTTTTTTTTCTCCCCAAGTCAATATTCTGCACCCAGAAAAAAGGGAATTCTGTAAGCTGTATAAAGTATGAGGGAACCTGCAATCCTCGATGTGGTCGCTGTGCTTCACACCCATGGGATACAGTGTGCATGCGCTGGATCGATCGGCACTGAACATAAGAACATAAGAACATAAGAGATGCCAATGTTGGATCAGGCCAAAGGCCCATCCAGTCCAACACTCTGTATCACACAGTGGCCAGAAATACCAGTGCCATCAGGAGGTCCACCAGTGGGGCCAGGACATTAGAAGCCATCCCACTGTTGACCCCCCCAAGCACCAAGAAGACACTGTAGCAAGCTCTTAACAGATTTTCGCGCCCAGACCTCGGGCATGTGCAAGAACCCCACCACGCATGCCCAGAGGGGTGGGTGCGGACATCCCGCCAGTTCCTTTCTTTCCGCTGCACTGGAAGCACCTTCCTTTCGTCGGTCTGATCGGTAGCTATTTCTCCTCAGAGGCTCTTCGGATTTCTCTTCAGTTTTCTTCATTTTTCACTTCTACCTTAGTTATTTTCGTTGTTTCTCAAAAAAAAAAAAAGACTTTGTTTTGTTTAGAGGGAAGTTTTTTTGTTTACCTCACTCTGGCCTTCGGGCTCCCCCCCCCCTTTTTTCTTCTCCGTTTTGCCTATTTTATGGAGAAGAAGTGGGGCTTTTTCAATCGTTGCAAGGGTTGCGGCAGTAAGCTCGCTCCACCTGACTGCCACACCCTTTGCATTTTTTGTCTTGGCGAGACACATCGGCCAGAATCCTGTCGACACCGCGCCAGGTTTTCAAATCAGACAAGAAAAAAACGAGCGGTGCGTCTACGGGTGGCATTACTGGAATCGGCGCTAAATCCTGCTCCCGTCATGGATGCAGACGCACCGATAAGACCATCGACATTGACGGCTCCGGTATCGAAGTCCTCGTCTGACATTGTCCAGTCGACATCGAAGCATTTGGTACCGACAGCGCAGTCTTCGGCATCGACTCCCATGAAAAAGAAGGAGAAGTCGGGTAAAGAGCACAAGTCGGCCAAAAAGGGCTCCTCTAAGGCCCTAAAAGTGGTGAAGTCTGGGAAAGTAGCGGGTTCTGCGCTGGGTAATGCCCCTAACGTGCCCCCTGCTCCAACGGCAGTATCGGCATCGGAGGCTCAAGCCACTCCACCGATTCCGACCATCCAGCTAATGGATTCCCCCATACACCAGCTAGACCATGATATGCTGGTCGATATGCATCCTTTCTCCGACATCGATAATGTCGAGATCCTCAGTCGTCCCCTGGGCACGGATCGCTCTCCCTCTGCTCAGTCATCAACACTGACGGTCTCGGAGTGCCATGCCGATATCGATGCGGCTTGGCATCGACAGATCCCTATAAGCACTCAACATCATCCTCCCCGTCTGTTCTCCGAGGATCGGCCCTTCGATATCGATGATCGGGCTACTAGGGGCCGCACACGGAGATGAGTTCCTACACTGTCTCCCAGATGCTCCGAGGCCTGCTTTCTGGGGCTGCTGTCCTGTCTCCCTTTTAAATTACTTCTTATCCTCAGCACCAGCAGGCCTCAGGGGCCAGATCAAACCTGCCCAGCTCTTGGAGGAAGAGACCTTGTCCGGCCTAAGGCATGCCTGGAAAGACCAGACAGCTGGGAGAGTTATTTTTTTTTTTACATTCAGCTTCTATACCGCTCAGACCCGAAGGTCTCAGAGCGGTTCACAATTGTGCTGCAAGCGCAGATTTTTGTCCTAATCTATGGCCACATTATTGGAGGGTGGGGGATGCCTACCAGCACCCAGGGTGGGTTCGCCATTTTCACCTCGACAGTCTCCTGGGTCAGCCGGCGTCTGTGTCAGGTCTTTCCGGCGGTGATCTTCTGGCGCGCGGCCCGTGGAGGCGCGGCTCTGCTCTGTCCGTTTCCGGCCCCGCTGTGCCTGCGCCGCCCACGCCGCCGTGCGTTCTTTTGTTGCTCCGCCTCCTCCGCTGACGGGCACTGGGCGCAGTTATCTTCCTCGGCCACCAGGGATCGCCATGTTGCGTCGCCGCGCCGTTGCTGCCGTCATTGCCGTCGCCACAGATGCCGCCGCCATCGCTGGTCTCCTCGTTGCCGCCGTCGCCACCACCGAACTCCACCACGTCCCCACATGGAGGAGGGTGCCCCCTACCCTTCTAAGGGTAGGTACCCATTTATCTACTTGTATTTTTTTTTATTTAACTTTCGAACCGCTGGGTGGGCGGGAGCTAGGACTCGGGCCGGGTGCTCACCCCAGCCGCGGTGGGTCTCGAACAGCCATAGGGCTGTTCGCTATGATGTTACAGGCAAGCGTTGTTACTGCTTGCGCCACCGCCTTCAGCAACTCTCTCCCGTCCTCCGGATCATCCATCTGATGACCCTCCTCAACATCGACCGGATCAATATCGTCCTCCCAGTCCCCCTATCCCACTGTCAATAGATCCAACCAGTCAGATCAAAACCACTCCGGTACAATTACCAGAGCCCAATTCCTGACTCTGTGGTTGAGGATTCTGATACAGGGGTTTCAGATGTGCACAGCTCCCCTGACCAGCCGTCTCCTAACCAGGCAGTGGCCGATGACCAACCTATATCTCCGTCTGATAATTTAACCAACTATGGAGACCTTATAAAAAGAATGGCACACTCCCTTGGCCTTTCAGTCGTACAACCACATCCACAGGTAACAGATGCCGTCTTCGATGCCGTGCAGCTAGATACATCAATGGCTATAGCACTACCCATGTCCACGGTCCTGTTACAGGCAGCTAAAGCTCCATGGGATAAACCATTATTGGCTCCAGTGTCCACACGTCGCTTGGACCTTATGTACAGAGTCCAAGAAACAGGAGCAGAATTTTTATTTGCCCACCCTCAACCAAATTCCATGGTGGTCACTTCCTCATCCAAGTCGAAGAGAACAGATTCTGCACCTTCTGACAAGGAGAGCAGAGAGTTAGATGCATTCGGACGACGTTTCTACGCTACGGGAGCGCTAGGGGTAAAGACCACCAATTACCTAGCGTGTATGAGTAGATACCAATACACTTTGTGGGAAAGGCTTTCTGAACTTCTGCTTCACCTCCCAGAAGAGAAGCGTCAGGCAGCCCGCATCATCCAAAAGGAGGGCATGGTGCTGGCAAAGCAACAAATTAATACCTCTAAACATGCCCTAGACACCTGCTCAAGGACAATGGCTTCAGCCATAGCTCTCGGAAGGCATACCTGGCTACGTAACACTAATCTACAGCCAGATACTAAGTCATACGTAGAGGACCTCTCCTTTGATGGTCTGTTTTATAGTACCACAGACACCATATTACAAGATATGGATAAAAGCATAAAAGCTTCTTGTGCTCTGGGCGTTTCCTCATCCACGAGGCAGCAATACTGACCTCGTCCTTGGTCCCGACCCTGGCAAAAACGCACCCCAAACCGTCAATCTCCTGACCGGCAATGGAGGCCATGTACATCCTCTGGAGGCCAGAAGCCCACATTTCAGAAACCTAGATTTGGATTAGGACAACAGTCTTCCCGCAGTAAGTAGCCGAAGTCCACCAAGCAGGGTTTTTGACTTCCATATCTCCCAGTCACATCCAACCCATCTAACCCCTTTCCTCCAAACCTGGCACCTCATTACCACAGACAAATGGGTACTGTCCATCTTGACCCAGGGGTTACCGCATAGAATTCATTCAGAACCCCATTACTCCTGTCTTCGTCTCCACACCCCCTTCTCCAGCCTCCTGGAAGAAGTGCCCGTCCTTTTGCAAACGGCAGCCATCGAGCCGGTGCCACTGCATCTACTGGGCAAGGGATTCTATTCCCACTATTTCACTGTTCCGAAGCGGGATGGAGGCGGTCGACCAATCTTAAATCTACGGACGCTAAACCACTTTATGATCTACCATCGTTTTCGCATGGTGTCCTTGCAGCAGATTCTGCCACTTCTCCAGAAGAACGTCTGGATGGCCACCCTCGACCTCCAGGACGCATACTTCCATCTCACCATCCACCCGTCCCACCGCCAATACCTACGCTTCGCGATTGGTCAACATAATTACCAATATGCAGCCCTGCCATTCAGCCTTTCAAGTGCACCAAGAGTCTTCACAAAGACGATGGTGGTGGTCGCGGCCTTCCTCCATCTCAAGGGTATCTCCATCTACCCGTACATCGACGATTGGCTCTTGGTAGCGACCTCCAAGTACGCCCTAGTCTCAAACATCAACGAGACACTAGTCCTCCTGGAAAACCTGGGTCTACAAGTAAATCTGAAAAAGTCTCAACTTCAACCGGTCCAGAAAATACACTACATCGGTGCGCTACTGGACTCCACAAATTGCACAGCCTACCTGCCACAAAACAGAGCAGCCGACATCATCAACCTAGCCACTATCATCCGTACCCGGCCCTCAGTGACGGCCTTTCACATTCAAAGGCTACTCGGCCTCATGGCCACTACTACATCAGTCCTGGTTTTTGCAAAATTAAGAATGCGTCACCTGCAACTATGGTTTATCCGCAATTTCAATCCAGAGAGAGACACACACCACCACCCACCTATTCCCACCTGTCAAGGTACGGGACTCTTTACTTTGGTGGACTGTCCCTTCCAACTTATTCCAGGGAGCACCCTTCCATCCTCCATCACCCCAAATTGCCCTAACTACAGATGCCTCCCTCTCAGGCTGGGGCGCCCACATGATGGGACTTTGTGTCGGAGGCAGATGGGACACTCAGAAACGGAATCAACACATCAATTTCCTGGAACTGCTTGCGATACAGTTTGCTGTCACCAGTTTCCTGCCCCTGATCAAGGGGAAATGTGTCACAGTCCTCACAGACAATACTACTGCCCTCATCTATGTGAACAAGCAAGGGGGCAACGCCTCTGCGACCTCGCCCTCCGGTTATGGGACTTCTGCATCGCCCACAACATCTTCCTAGTCGCCATGCACATCCCGGGGCACATGAATGTGCAGGCAGACCACCTAAGTCAGGCAGGACTCAGTCTGCACAAGTGGGAAGTGAATCCAATTTACCTTTTCCCGCAGGTGG